AAACTGAACTCTAAGGTCTGTCAGATTTTTCCTCCTCATGCGTATAGTAAGCTATACACATGAGGAGGCTCCTGACTAGTGTGGCCGTCTAAGCATTAGCCCTGACGTTGGAAGATTGTGGTTTTAATCCCCGGTGATGGCACAAACCTAGCGCTGCTACCTCAGCCCTGTAAAGTTCCTGCACAGCAGCTTTTTTACTAAATTCAGGAGATAGGTAGCTATGTTCATTACGCACTCTTGATGTCAGTACTGAACCTAATCTTCTCAGTTTAGTGCTGCCTAGTCAGGCAAACAAAAACTTGAACAATTCAGGAAAACGTGCATGTTCCTGGATGGGTGGCAACCCTACTCTGCCCCATCACTCAGTGCTAGTTTCTGTTAGCTGACATGATGCGCTCATCCAAGTGCATTGAGTGTCCAATGACATTGCAGCAGAGCCAATTAAAAAAGATGTGGCAGCTGGCTTCATGTGGCTTCATGCTAGTGTGGAAGAAATTTCTACACTAAACAGACAGCAGCAAAGTCACAGAGTCACAATTAAATCTCCAAAGCAAGATATTTATTTAAAATCACGGCTGGGGAGAAACTCCTGGTGTAATACCCAGAGATCTCTGCCAAGACCAAAATTCCATTAGATTATATAGTTCCCCAACAGGGCATTGGTGCATTTTATTAGTTAATAGAAGACAAAATAGTTACAGTTTATTGGTTATACGTAATTGCCCTATGAATAAACAAGGTTGTGTTAATGTATATGCATAATGAATGAGATGGAAGGAAACTCCAAATATGGTTGGCCTTACAGGTTCACAATAAGTTTTCATGTCCTCAGGTGTCCTCGGGGCGAACATAGCCTGCAGCTTCAAGGCCATTTGGCCACAAAGTTTCCTGCTCTTATCAACTGGCTAGGACCGACATGTAAGGAGTATCCAACTTGATACATAACAGCACGTCTTCTCATAAAGAAGAAGAGTAAAGGAAACTCAGTTTTAACGATGAGTAACATACAATACATAATCATGCATCTGTCAAGAAAATAAAGAATAATATGGCAAACTGCAGTCATCTACAAGAGAATCATGTGAGAATAAGTTCTTTTAGCAACAATACTATCCACATAGGGATGGAATTGGCCATGACAATTGGCCAGTTCAACATGTTTCACGTGTATTTTTATTCTATTTTTCAACATAATTTGGGCACAGCAGCTCCAAAAAATAGACTGTTTTTACAACTTCGGCCGAATATTATTTTTTGTTTTTACCCCTACCCCTTGTTTTCGAATGTCACTTTGCCCCTTGGAGTTACAAGGAGTAGTGGCTGAAATCTTCCCCTATGAAATAGGTCAATCCTCAAATAAAAAAGAACATTACTTCATCAACAGGCTACTAGTGGTGCTTTACAGGCAGTGATAGCAGAGGAGCAGTATAGTTCAGCAACCTCACTGCTGGTCTTTAGTTAAATTTAGAGACTCGTATGCCTTCAAAGAGGGGGGTGTGACAATTGCTGGGTTTTTTTGTCTCTGCCTCTGAAAAACCTCTGTTATGAGCCCTACCATTGGGAAAACCTACCCCTAGGCATGAACGCTCAAAATGGAGGATTAGGGGTAAGGGGTGAAATGGGATTGGGCCTTAGTTTCTGAATATAATCCATATGGACTAGGGGTATAGCACATTTTAAAACTTTAACAACATTGTGCATCACACTCTTCTTTTTGGATTTCCATTATCTCGGATATTAAAGTAAATTTCATTGGTCTATTATCAAAATTTCCTTCACCATGGAAAGGCTTTGTTACCGTCAGATGAGAGAGGTTTAGTTGGGAATGGGGGTGCATGTCACATAGTCCCAGTTCAGAATATCTCGCTTGTATGAACAGACACACACACTTTGGAACATTTAAGTAAGAAAGCAGAAGTGAGTAATGCAAATTCATGGGTTTATAAGTGAGACCGTAGGTCATGGCCAGCTAGGGCAGATTCTGCATACATACTGTTGGCATTTTTATAGTCAAGGCTCTAGTTGGAGGAAATAAATCTTGGCCTATACATATAGTATATAACAAAAGCACAACCCTACTCAGTGTCACTAAGGTGCCTAATCACTACATGCATTCTAATTTGAACAAACAAGCTACCTGCTGTTATGTTTAATTAAAACAATCAAGTTAGACAGACTATATTGAAATTACAGACTCCATTGTGGAAAGTAAGGGAGGATCGGGGCAGTTTCTGAAGGGACATTATGTTGTAAGTGTCGCTGTGAAAGTGAGAAAGAGAAATGCATGGTTGTTTCTAATGTAGACCTATATAAAATGAAAGGAGACCATCCAGGACAAACAGCAATTTGCCACACACTGAGAATGCAGTGGGCCATGAACATCTCCAGATTTTACACTCCAGTATTCACCTGGAACATGCTGTTTGTCCTGGATGGTCTCCTTTCATTTTATATAGGTCTACATTAGAAACAACCATGACAAACAGCATGTTCCAGGTGAATACTGGAGTGCAAAATCTGGAGATGTTAGTGGACCACTGCCTTCTCAGCGTGTGGCAATTTGCCAATCAACCAGAACACAGCATAATGCTAACAACTAGGAAAGTTACACCGTGAAGGCTAGCTAGATAGAGGAAACTTTTAGAAAGCATCAGGTGGGGCTAGCTTCTTGATGGCTAGCTTCATGTTAATGTACCATCAATCACTGGCTAATTAACTAGCTAGCTAGCAGTCCCTCTGGGTGGGTTGTGGTTTTTATGGGTCATTTTGGGGCGAGGTCACTATGGTTTTAGTGGGCTTGTCTACACAAACGTCCAGGGCTGAATTTAGTTCCCAGTTCAGTGCTGACCACTAGTAACCAAGGTGCAGGGGCCTTCCAAGAAAGATGACAAAGATGACACAGTCTGCTATTTATGCAATCTTGCACTGAAAACCAGATGGGCCAGTGCTTCCAGCTTAGCACAAGATTTATCGCCAGAAATTGGCCAGATAGTGTGGTATTAAATTGCACCAACAGATTGTGTGGCATTAAATTGCACCAACAGATAGTGTGGCATTAAAATGCACCAACAGATAGTGTGACATTAAAATGCACCAGCAGATAGTGTGGCATTAAATTGCACAAACAGATAGTGTGGCATTAAAATGCACAAACAGATAGTGTGGCATTAAAATGCACAAACAGATAGTGTGGCATTAAAATGCACCAACTTCTACAGATGATGTACAAGAAGAATACTGTTACTAACACCGACAAAACTGCAAGACTAAGGTTTGCAAAACGGGAAAGAAGCATAGTAAATATTGGCAGCACATTCTCTAGTCAGATGAAACGAAGATCGACTTACTTGGATCAGATGGGGTTCCACATGTTTGTTGTGGACCTGGCCAAGGCTACTACAGTGACTGCATAGTACCAACTTGAAACATGTTGGAGGTAGTGTGTTAATATTGGGCTCTAGATGTAGGAGAGGAGACTGTTACAGATAGCAGTATGAACACTAGTGTGTACACCAAAATACTGGTAACACTTTATTTGGATGGTCCACTGTAGATGCTTTGTAAATGCTCAGTATATCTTTAGGTAAAATTCAACTAAATATCTGTTAAATGCAACTGAACTACAAGTTCAGTGTGAAAGAGTTTATTAAACCTATCCCTACTCCTAACCCTAACCTCAAGGCTAAACTTACATTTACTCCTAACCTTAACCCTAGCTACAGTGTGGTTGATAATCAACTGAACTTTACCAGAAAGTTTGTTAATGATTTAAGTATCTCTAGAGCATCTGTAGGGGACCATCCAAACAAAAAAGTGTGTTCAAAATACTGAATGAAAAGTTGATTCCTACACTCAAGACGCTTGGTAGAAAAGTAATGTTCCAAGATGACAATGTTCCTGTCACGGATTCTCCCTTTGTCCCTCTCAGTGCATCTTTCGCCCCCTCTATGGTAGCCATGTGTCTTTTTGTTTTCTTGTGACATGTGCTTTTTGTTGTTGTTCTGTGTCTCCTCCCTGGTCCTGCCCCCTTGTTATCTGTTATCTGTAGCTCCGCCCCTCATTAGTCCCAGGTGTGTCTCATTTCCCCTCTGTGTATTTATACCCCTGTGTTTGTTCAGTCTTTGTCTTGCATTGTGGATGTTACTCTGTTGATGTTACATTGTCTCTTGGTTTTGTGGTTTGGTTTTGCTTTCGTCATGAACTTGTCAGTTATTCAAACCTCTGCAACTCTGGACCCTATTAGCTCTACAATCAATAAAAGCAACTCGCATTTGCATCCTGCCTCCATGCCTCAAACGTTACAGTTCCAAAAGCATGAGTTTTTAAAGACAAAGAAAAAACATCGCCAAGTATTTCACCTGACCTGAATTCTACAGAATTTTAAATATTAAAATATTAAAGTGGAAAGTGGAGAAGCACATCTAGCAAAAAAGGGCTATAAAGAATTGTCTGCAAATAAAGGCAGGATATCTCTGCCCAGATTTGTGCTACATTGGTATCATCTATGCCAAGGAGGCCTGAAAAACAAAAGTTGGCGTACACAATATTAGAAAAACACAGAAATAAAATCCCACTAGTGAAGGATGGACTGAATTTTGCTACAGTTCCTTTTAATGCGTGAACCCTACAGTGTAACCTCTCAAAACAGTTCTATTTGTTGTATTAACTTGCTTTAATCAAACAAATTAAGTTGTATTGAACCGAAATCATTTCTCAGAACATGCCAAACACTTTAGTGATATTGAACAGGGGTGTGCTCATTTTGGTTGTGTACTATATGGGATTGGTTTTCCAGACAGCTGCTGGACTACACGGCATTAGATTCTCAGAGTGAATGAACTGTTACCACTCCACCAGTTTGAACAAAGATTTCCTGAATAGCTTTGATTTTGCCTTTTCATGACATGGAAGAAACTTTATATTGGCAATTGAGCTGCCATCATTAGAGAATATTGTAAAGTTAAAAAAAAAAACAACTCAAAAATATTCCAATATAAACTTTAAAATCTTTTATTAAGTTTATTAAGTTTACAGTTACAAGCTGTGAATGCAGATGGAGTTCAGAGTGAAAAAGGCACCAATTTGATCTAATTATAACCAGCATATATACAGTACTGTGCAAAAGTCATAGACCACCATTCATATATTTAATATCCAGTCAGCACAACCATTAAGTACAAACTATTCATTTTTCATGAGATATTTCTAAGGATCTCAACATCACTGAATGCGTTTGGGATCATGATAAGTAGAAAATATAACCAACATCTAAGGTTGAACTCTGGAAGTGTTTAAAAGACGTATGGAACATGTGGAAAAATACCCCTGTCCCGAAGAGAACGGAAGCTGTAAAAAAGGCAAAAGGTGGACACACTAAAAAGGGAAGATATTAGTTGCTGTGGCTTCTGTGTAACTTTCTGTTGAATGTTTTCTGTTTTTTTCTGACACTGAAAAATTAGCTACTGATTAGTCATTTTGGCTGGAAAATAAATAAATGAAAAACAGCCTCTTTGCACAGTACTGTCTATCTAATGATTACAATGTTATTCATTAAACATTAGTCATAATTAATTGCAATGTAAAAAGCTGACCTTTTTGCAGGAATCCATAAACTGGACATGATCAGTAGTACGTCAGTGTTTTTCAAGAATCTTTGGAGTGAGACACACACACTCAAACACACCCAGCAAATGGCTCCCTAATCATTATACAGCTTATGCAAAAAAGGGGTCATGATATTACTTCTGCAACCAAATCATGAATTATAAGTACCATAGGGAATCATTTGAGAATTAGTCACACAAATACACACTCACTCTTTCACCAGGGCTGGACCTTTTTCTCAGACACAAACTGCCCATGGGGCTCCTTGGCACCAGGTGGTAGCAAGGCAAGATAGACTGGGGTCACAGCGCCCTCGTCTGGCGACTTTGTAGCATTTGGCCCTGCCATGTCTGTTCTGACCCAGCCTGGACAGCAGGCATTACACAGGATTGCATCCCCGGGTCTCTCCGCAGTCAGCTTCCTGGCGTGGATCCTGGTCAAAGTGGTCAGGCCAGTCTTGGACACTCCGTATGCTGTATTAGGCCAACCTCTTTGGGAGTGGGCATCCTCCTTAGCATCCTTCACAAAACGCTCCATCAGCCCGACCAGCTCCTCCTCAGTGATGTCGTCACTGCGGAAACGAGCCTGGAGGTCTGGGCTGCAGCGTCCCAGGGCGATGGAGCTCATCACGCTGGAAACGTTTACCAACCTGCCTGTGGAGAAAGAGAGTCAGGGAGGTGTGGGTTTCTCTATTTATCATCATCATCATCATTATAATAATAATAATAATAATAATAATGGTAAATCTCTGACCTCACTATTTTACCTGATTACAACTCTTAAGGAAATGTATTATGAAAATGATCAACTAAGAGCAAGCATAAAAACAACTGCCCGTATCTGATCTACTGGGTAGTCATGACTTACCCCCTGGTTTGATAATGGGGAGGAACTCATTGCACATGTCTCTGGTGGCAAAGAAATTGGTCCGCAGAGTCACTTCAGCTTGGGTCCCAAAGGGCGTTGTATCTGCCACTATCATAAACAAGCACAAAGATGCCATAAGTGGTTAACCCTCAGAAGTATCCATCCATTCATGCATCCATCATTAGGGTTGGCTGGCTATTACAGTGCTGTTATCAGGGGAGATGTCTAGAAATACTTATACTGAAATGTATCACTCCTTACCATCTCTCTCACTGAAGGAGATTTAATCTGAGGTGAGTTTTTGTTTTTTATGCCACAACATACATTTGTGTATTTGGATGTTTATGTATATCGTGAAATCAACCAGAAATAAACTAGATGTGAAGTATCAATGTATTGTTTGTGCCCTTTCATTAAATATGAAGTTACTCTGGCCTAGGAACCCTTGTAGTGTTGGATTCAGTTAACAACTGTTTGAGAGACAGTCTGTCTTTTAACCGTTCCTAAAGCTGCACTACGTACACATTTTTGTTAAAATTAAGAGATGTAGAATAAGCGTACATTTTTTAAAGAAAATACAAATTAGGTTACAGTATCTTCAATAAATTGGATCCCAATGTCTATTAATATGTTTTTTTTTTCATTGTCTTTACTCTTTGTTGGGAAATAAACTTTGGTCTAGTCCAGTGTTTCTTAATTCTGCCCCTGTCCAACAACCCATAGCACTGCACAATTTCAACTATTCCCTGCCTCAGAATACCTGAGCCAACTACTGCGGGTTTAACAATCAGATGATCAGGTGTGTCAAGTCAAGGAACACTTGAAACTGTAGTGTTGTGGGTCACAAGGAGCAGGATTATAAAAACACGGTGCAGTTATTCATTACAACGATTGCGCTGTGACTGGTGTTGGTTGCCACAAATGCACTGAATATATTCAAACTCTCATATCTCACCACACTAATGAACATTATATCTAGGGTAGGTTGGCGTCAGTTATCTGGTTTGTGAGATAAGAGATGCAGAGCGAAAAAGTGGGACAACCAATCCTGTGTTCCCATACTATGATGAACACATGCCCACGTCCAGTCCTATTGATCTACCACCCTGGGACAGTTTATCTCTAACACCCCTGATTTAATTAATCAAGACCTTCAGGTTTGTTGGAACTCAGCTCTCCAGGGTGGTAACGTTAGACCAACAGGACCAGGGCTGGGCAACCTTGTTGTAACTGCCCTGAGAAACTAAATAAAAAATAAGAGAGCCAGAGTGATAAGTATGAAAACCAACCACTGTTCCCAAACTGCTGAAGTCCAGTCGTTCCAACCGCCCTGGAGAGATCAGCTCCAACAGTTAATCACGGCCTTCAGGAGCTTCTGAATATCAGAGCCAGGTTTGCTGGAGCTCAGCTCTCCAGGTCTGTTAGATCACCAGGATCAGGGTTGGGCACCTGTTGTCTAACTGAACTGATGAACCCGGTTACTTTTGAACGCAATCCCCGCGTTGTTGATGAGGACGTCCACCCCTCCGTACTGAGCCTTGAAGAAGTCCCGCGCTGTGCGGACGCTGGCCGGGTCAGTGATGTCCAGCTGGTGGAAGAGCGGTGACAGCCCCTCCCCCTTCAGCCCCTCCACCGCCGCCTGCCCCCGACCCACGTCCCGCGCCGTCAGGAACACATCACCGTCAAACTGCTTACACAGGGCCCGCACCACAGCCAGCCCGATCCCTTTGTTTGATCCGGTCACAAGGGCCACTCTGCGAGCAGACATGTCTGCAGCAGTAACGAGAAAGCAGGAGAGCAGAACTCAACCAACGAGTCGAGCTGGATAACTAACTTAGTTAACGTTACGCTGAAAGCGCCAACACCGGCAGTGCTGCAGGGATAAAACGTGTCGTAACTTGTCCAATGCAAATTATAAGTAAGGAAATTATGCATTTAAAGGAAACAAATGACAGCGACTTGGTTAAAATCGGTTAGACAGACCTACCGTTTGGAGTGTTTAGTGGGAGCTCTCAGACCTTTCAGTGCAGAATTGCACTTACACAACCGCTGCTGCACTTGACGTACTCGGGCTGCGATATGTATAACACCGTGATCGCCTGTCTCCACTGAGAACTCTTACAAGTGCATTTATGGATCGGCTGTGACGCAGCTCAACGTAGCTGACGCGTAGCGGACGCGCTTTCGTCACCAGCTAGAAAACGCACACAGAATGCGAAGGTTAATTCATTAGTCTTTTAAACAGAATGGTGAAATTACGGTTTTCTACCTTATAATTAGCACCAATAACCCTCAAAAGAAACACAAGGAATATAAAATATACTGACATGAGCTGCCAAAACATTTAGATAGCCTAGGAAACAGGTAGGGTTGCCGAATGTCCCGCAAACTACGGAATCACTTAATACAAACCGGGGGTGGGGTTAGTTGGGGTCGGTAGGGGAGACACAATAGCATCTCCCGAGGGTCTTTCAGACAATACAATATAATATAATTTTGGCATCTTTTCTTTTTCATGCGCTCTAAGGTACGAAGACAGTACATGAGCTCCTTGTGAAAAATGTAAAAAGATGTTGTTGTTTTCATAAACCTTACCTTCTGGATGAAAAGATATTCCCCACAATAAAATATCATTTATTACCCTTTCAGAATCTGTCTTGGAGAAGCATTCCATATATAATCTGTCTCTGTAAAATCACTTAAACCCAACATCTTTGGATATAACCAATACTGTAAATCATCCTAAAATGTGTTTGAGTACTTATAGGAAACAAATAAATGCTCAGTTGTTTCAATATCTTCTTTACAGAAAGCATCTTCATTTAAATTAAACCTTTGTCTCGGATAGTCTTTACACAGATATATTCCATTCATTATCTTGAAATGAACTTCCTTAGCCCTCGGGGGGGCAGGAAATGTAATATACATAGTTCTGTGTTCACATACATAAAACTTCAGGGGAAAAAAGAATTGAATTTCTAAAACAAACATTTGGGTACAGTATCCTATTGAAACAGCTCCTGAGAAAGTTATTGGAAAGTTTTGTATTTAAAAAATCTGTCCCTTATATAAAGAGCTGGAGAATGTGTGGGGTGGGGGCAGTACGTTCAAGTCCACTTCTACATATTACAAACATAGCTTGTGGAACTGCCTTATGACAGTATTATAGTGTTTGCGATTACAAATCTATGGAGCCCCTGAAGGGATGTGGTGTATTTTTTTTAGGTGAAAGGGACGTGTATATATTTTTTTTGGGTAAAAATCTGGTGAGCACCCAATACTATGTGGTGGGCCCCCGATACTATGTGGTATACACTTATTTTGTCTCGTATTTGTCTGTATTTTGTCTCGGTGTTCACTTCCGACGGGTGGCACAAGAACAAATAATGTGACCTAAAGATGATAAGGTAAGTTTATTTGTTCAGGCAGCCATAAAAACCTTAATATTTGTGTTTAGGCTGCCTTTACTAGATATAGTTAGCTAAAAATTGTGAAAACTCTTATAAAGTCCTAGCTGCTGAATGAGTTGTTGAAACTGTTCAGTCACAAATGTCTTCTTCCATGACGGAATGACAAAGGATAACAACATCATATCTGGTGCTCATCACATAGTATCTGGTGCTCACTTAACAGTATTGGGCACTCACCTAATAGTATCTGGTGCTCACCACATAGTATCTGGTGCTCACTTAACAATATTGGGTGCTCACCACATAGTGTCAGGTGCTCACTTGATAGTATTAGGTGCTCACCACACAGTATCAGGAGGTCACTTGATAGTATTGGGTGCTCAACTTATAGTATATGGTGCGCACAGTACATAGAAATTTAGATGAAGTTAACTTCTTATTCTCATTTCCTGTTTCACCTTAAATGATGTAGCACTTTCAGACACACGTTCTATCACTAGCGTGTAAATGCGGCACTATTTAAGGTGGAATGGTAATTCCAATAGGAATCCAACATCAGCCCAGAGAGATTGTCAAATGAAGTGTGATGACGTGGTGTTGCTAACACAGCAGACAGAGCTCCACTGAGTTTAATAACTTAACATGGGGTGATTTCTGAGCAGGTGGGCAGTGAGAAATAAGTTTTCATTTCATCACTAGATGCAGATTTTAGAAAATGTTATGCTGCACAAAGGCAATGTGTTTATATAGCAGGAGAAATACTGTTTCTAGAGTTTAAGGTGGGCTGGTCTGCCTCACATAACTCTTGGTCTGAAAACAATTCTGGCCCTGAGGGTTATGTATAATAATCATATACATTTTTTAAACCCAAATGTGGTTGATAGACACTGGTGTCAGGAAGCTACTTCAAAAGCATAGCTTTGCAAGCTACCAATTACTTTACGCTGGAAGAAGTTGAACTCGATCAAAGCGACCCTGGGGAGAAATCGAGTATGATTAACTAAAGCTACTTAAAGTAGTTCAAACTACTTAGTGAAAAAAAATATCAAATTGACAAGGTAAAGTGGTATGAAAGTTACTTGCCACCAAAAAAAACCCATAATTGTTTGTAGTTTCAGTAGATAACTAAACAAATAAATTGCCAAAAAGTGTTTTCACTACTTGAATCACTATGCAGATATGAATGTAGTCAAACTACCAACAAGCTACTTCAAAATGTAGTTAAACTTGCAGTTTAACTAGATAAAGTTCACTACTCCCCAACACTGATAAATACACTTGGATTATCTTTGCTATAAAAGTGAAAGTGCATCCTATTTAAGGTTCATGTAATGTAAACAGTAACAACATAGCAGTAACTAATGTTTACCATTGCATTCATAATAATAATACATACTATAAATAATATTATGTTAAACTGGTGTTGTGGGCGGCGCGGTAGCACAGTGGGTAGCACTGTTGCCTCACAGCAAGAAGGCACTGGGTCCAGTTCCCTGGCTGGGCAACCAGGGTTCTCCCCGTGTCTGCCTGGGTTTCTTCCCACAGTCCAAAGACATGCAGTCAGGCCAACTGGACTGGAGAAGCTGCTCAAAGTGGTACTGTTTAGTTTAGCAAATTTTGTGACAGCACAAATGTTCTGACCGAATTTAGTGGTGTCAGTGCAGTAAATCCAGTACCCATTTGAATTTCTGTCCCTTCAGTTGTCACACAAAACCCCTTTTGTGAATCTAAGAAGGTGGCTTAAAAAGAAAGGCTTCTGTACTCGGTCCTTAATACCAGCCGGTTTCTCAGGTAATAGAATAATCAAGCTTCCTAAGCAGAGTTCGTGTGATGACTGTAAATGATGTGGTAATGTGGTTTGTTGTCTGTGTAGATACTGTGTAGATACTCTGCCAACGTCTCCGTACACTCTGTAAAACATATACAAACCCTGAACAGAAAGGGTGTTAAAGGGGGTTTCCTCCCTACCCCATCCCCAAATTTCTGCATAAGTTAGTTGTTGAGATGTAAACAAAGTCATACAGAGTGCTTTGATCTGAGTAGGTGCACTCTAGAGAAACTTAACACTTCGGATTTCTTTACAATTGTGGTGACAGTAATCATGGGTCAATATATATATATATATATATATATATATATATATATATATATATATATACATATACATATATATATATATACACATTTTATTTACTTACCTGAGAGGTGCTTATTGATTACAAGCACAGTTCTCAAGAGTTACATGATGGTATACATAAAGAGGTATCAATGCTAAAGCCAGACTACACAATCAAATACCTGTTTGCTGTTCGACCATTAATTAATTTTGTCCTCACTGATATTCAGGGGCACTTCATAAAAAAGAAAAGGACACTAAGGACGCAAAATATACAGAATCATATTTTAATTTTAATCAGAATAGTAATGACTCAATTAAATCCAGCTGTGTAGATTCATTTTATTATTTTATTGAAAGAAGTTCAGAATTGAAACAGCAAAAACAGGTCATTTTTAATTGCAAAAATGAGTCAGCTGTTTTACTAGAGAGATATTTATTCATGATTTATAAGATAATTGTATAAGATAATTCATATATTAATTTATTACTTTTACAAGTAATCTTGAGGGCATTTTTATGCCCCACTAGTTTAAGGCACAGAAATGTTAAGCATGATTTTTGCTTTTTGTCTCTGGTAATTTCAATGTTGATTAATTCCTGCTGATGAGAAGTAGTGAGCAAATGTAAGTGTAAATTTGAAATGCAAAATAACCTTTTGATTACTTATCTATTACTCAATGCCTCTTGGTGACCTTGGTGTTCTCTTCTTATTGTTGAGAGACATTATGGAGATACATTAGAATCGAGCCCTTACACTGAAGTCCTTCTTAAGTCTCACACATGCCCAGTGTACTTCTCAGATCACACATAAGAGTGTGAGAGTGTCCAAAAATGAAGCATAAAGAATACCCAGCCTGTGGAGGGCCTGTTTACCCAGGATGCACATTGGAGGGCGTGGTGCAGCATGAATACACGTACTGTGTATATGGAGCATGCCTGGAGTGATTTTCTGATAAGAGGCTTGTTTTGTGTCGTCATTTATGCAACCCAAAGTTTTAGTTTTCCAGTTGACTACATTTCTGTGTACGTACTGTAAATAATGCTTAGAAATGAATAATTTGGTTCGATACAGTGTGCTGGAGTCTTGCTTTAATACATTTCTTGCTATGACAAAACGGAGTGCCTGAAAATGTGTGTTATGTTAATGTTAGGACATTCAATATTATAAAAGTACAGTATTTGAGATTTTAGATCGGCGTTTTCCCTGATCCGTTCAGTACAACCTAATACGTATGCCCTGAGCAAGTGCACTAGCCACAATAGTTTTTGATGCATTGCAGAACAACTGATAACGTCTCATGACTGCGAGCGTGTTGAAAGAGTATTCAAAGAGTCAAAACTTGGTGAAATACTTGTCTTCCGAGGATGTAAATGAAGTATGTTCTATTGTCATTATATTTTCATCAGTGTAATGTTGATTTTGTATTGAAAACTAAACACCAGGGTAGACCTTCTTTTTGAGCCTATGCGTGTGACTTTAATGCATAAAGACAGAAACGATTTTTAAATGACCTTCTTAATGATACTTCTTTCAGTTTTATCAAAAAAAAAAATCAATGCAGCTTTAAGGAAATTCATAAACCAGTGGTAAAGACCATATAGGCACACTTTGAGATATGTTTAGATATTATTTGGGTCCATCCTCTAACTATATACCAAGAAGGTGTACCAACAAGACAAGGGTTTCCAATAAAGTGACCAGTATGTGTACACAGTGTTTAAAAAATCCAGCAACGCTGCTGTACTTGGTACACTTTTACCACCGTGCACTAATATGGAATGGTTCACCACCCAAATAATACCTGGTCAGCAGTTTTGCACTTGAATGAGTGTACCTAACAAATTGGCAATTTGTGTGATCTTATGTGACTTATATAAACAAATACACAATTAAAAGCAAACCAGCCACTTATGGTGATACTAGATAAGAAAGCAGAAAACTGTAATGCTGCGTTTACATGTTGGCGGTTGTCAGTCAACATCAAACTAGATTTCCCATTGTTTTAAACGGGGAGAAGCGATAGGAAGTTCCACCACCACCAGTATTTTTTCCAACTTTTGCTGTCAACCACGGCGGTGAAATGAACTGGTCCAGGCAAACCCTGTATTATACAACAACAAAGAAAACAGTACAGAGCATCTTCTTGAGAACGTATCTGCTTTCTTTTGACAACTTCAAAGCAGTGTTTAGTAATCTGACTTGCTGCTATGAGATCAAAAATATCTAAGGCTGTAGAAAATTCCTGCGAACATGACAACCAACCACTCCTTCTGGAATATGGCTTTGTTTCCCTAAACACTGTGGTCTATGTTGACCCAGGTGAGACAACCATATTAACTATATAAACAGGCTGATGTAACTTTGGACATAAAATCGGTATTTACTGTGCTATCGGCAGATACGTATATGAAAAATATTGGACATTGTAATCAACCCAGAATTCCCATATTGGTGCATCCTTAACAAATACTGCACTATATGTACAATAGTGAGCCATTTGGGATTCTGCTACACACCCAGTTCTTCACCAGGGCTGGACCATTTTTTCTGACACCAACTGCCCGTGAGGCTCCTTGGCACCAGGTGGTAGCAGGGCAAGATAGACTGGGGTCACAGCGCCCTCGTCTGGTGACTTTGGAGCCTTGGGCCCTGCCATGTCTGTTCTGACCCAGCCTGGACAGGCGGCGTTACACAGGATTGCGTCTCCAGGTCGCTCTGCCATCAGCCTCCTGGCCTGGATCCTGGTCAGATTGATTAGACCGATCTCTGACACTCCGTATGCTGTATCGGGCCAGCCTCTTTGGGAGTGGGCGCCATCCTGAGCGTCCTTCACAAAACGCTCCATCAGCCCCACCAGCTCCTCCTCAGTGATGTCGTCACTGCGGAAACAGGCCTGGAGGTCCGGGCTGCAGCGTCCCAGGGTAGTGAAAGCCATCATGCTGGAAATGTTCACCACCCTGCCTGTGGAGAATAAGAAAGGTGTAGAGTATTAAAATTATAAATAATAAATCATTATATTATTAGGGGGTGCATAAAAACAATTGACATGTATTGAAAGAAAAAAGTTATTAATTATAAAAATAACAAATAAGTAAAAGAAATAATTCATTTAGAAAAAATAAAAATTTTTACAGTAAATTTACTGTATATCTATAGTAAATCTTACCTCACAATAATGTTTTAAGATGCTTTTTAAAATGACTAACTGAAGGTTCCCTATGTCCTATGTCCTCTGGGAGGGACTTCCAAAATTTTGGAGCACAGACACTAAAAGCAGCTCATCACTTCTTCTGCGTGTTGAGCATATTGAAACGTTTCTACTGGTATCTGATCTAGCGGGTAGTCATGACTTACCACCTGGTTTGATGATGGGGAGGAATTCATTGCAGACGTTTCTGGTGGCAAAGAAATTGGTCCGCAGAGTCACCTCAGCTTGGATCCCGAAGGGCGTCGTATCTGCCACTATCATGAACAAGCACATAGATGCCTTAACTTGTTAACCCTTAGAAGCTGCAGTTCCTCATCTATCCATCAGTAGGGGAACAAGGGGTTGGTTGCCACATATTTTGGCTGTTACAGTGCTATTATCTGTTACATTATCGGGTTTAATGTCTAGAAGTACTCATACTGAATTGTATCACTTTGAGGGTAGAGGTCCTTTACTTCTTTACCATCTCTCTAACTGAAAGAGATTTGATCTGAGATACCACAAAGTAAAATGTGAGATTCTGATGTTTTATGTTATTAAATGTGAGGTAGGTGAACTCACCAAAAAAATAAATAAACATACACACACTAAAAATAGGGAACAGAGGAGTGTGGTACCCTTTCTTCAAATATGAGGCGATTAGCATGCCCTTTAGCATAGTAGCCCTGGTGAGGTTGGTTGTAACGCTTGGCAGGGGTGACCGTCATATGTGGACCTTAAGGCAGTGTTGGAAGACAATGCTTTAACTGTTCTTTATGAGTTCAGATCATGCCTTCAACATGTAGTGGTAGTGTGAGGGAAGATTGACTGACGGAGAGGGAGAACTCTGAGAACTTGGGCTGGAGTTCTGGGCAGGTTCTGCCTGTAGTTAGAAGGCCAGACCCCCCCTTCATAGCTGTCCTAGGACTGATGCAGTTCTGAGAAACAGGGAGGAGATGGGGTGGCCGCGAGGACTGTGAACACTTTGTCACGGGAACGCAAGGTGAGGATGTGAATTTATAGGGCATAAGATTTGGAAGAAGGAGGGGTTTCAGCCATGTTCCTCCCCCCAAACTTCAGTTATAATACAGCTACATTTAACCATGTTTTTATACACTAATTTGGACAAAAATACAAATTTGATCTCGTAAAAATTGAGTGAATTAATAAATTAGATCTCTTCTGTCAAATATTTTTGTTTATGCTATGGGGTTGGTTGTCACAAATGCACTGCATGTATTCTAATCTAATTGAATCTACTGTAATCTAATCCATCATCATACTAATGAATATTATGTATAGGTTTGGTTTATATAATTTGGTTTGTCAGATAAGAGAGCCAGAGTGATAAGTATGAAAACCAACTCCTGTTGCCAAACTGCTGTCCAGTTAATCACGGCCTTCAGGAGCTTCTGAATATCAGAGCCAGGTTTGCTGAAGCTCAGCTCTCCAGGTTTGTTAGATCACCAGGATCAGGGTTGGGCACCTGGTCTAACTGAACTGATGAACCCGGTTACTTTTGAATGCAATCCCCGCGTTGTTGATGAGGACGTCCACCCCTCCGTACTGAGCCTTGAAGAAGTCCCGCGCTGCGCGGACGCTGGCCGGGTCAGTGATGTCCAGCTGGTGGAAGAGCGGTGACAGCCCCTCACCCTTCAGCCCCTCCACCGCCGCCTGCCCCCGACCCACGTCCCGCGCCGTCAGGAACACATCTCCGTCAAACTGCTTACACAGGGCCCGCACCACAGCCAGCCCGATCCCTTTGTTTGATCCGGTCACAAGGGCCACTCTGCGAGCAGACATGTCTGCAGCAGTAATGAGAAAGCAGGAGAGCAGAACTCAACCAACGAGTCGAGCTGGATAACTAACTTAGTTAACGTTACGCTGAAAGCACCAACACCGGCAGTGCTGCAGGGGCAAAGTACGCAGAGAAACGTGCTGTAACTCAATATTTAACGCATTAAGTGGAAAAACATTGACAGTGACTTGGTAATAATTAGTTACACGCTGTCTTTCCGCACAGATACAGCGGCTGTGTTTCAGGCGCGCTTGAGTTCCCGGTATCCGATACCTATAACACCGTGATCGTCTGTCTCCACTGAGAACTGAGAGAAATGCATTTACAGATCGGCGGTGACGCCGCCGAGCGTAGCTGACGCGCTTACGTCACCAGCTTGGAAACTCACATGGAGAGTGAGGTGTTGAAAGAACAGTGTTAACGTTATTTTTTCATCAGAATTGTAAAACGACTGTTTCCTGCAGTGGCATCCGTGTCAATAGTTGGCAGAAGAAGTGAATAATAATTAGACTCCGTTAGTTAGAGAATATATGAGCTGACAAATCAGTCATTATTTAGCCTAGGTAACAGGTTAGCTGTACAAGTTAGCTAGCTTAGCTAGCTGGCTGCTCCTTGTTTATGTCTCCCTCCTCTCCAATGTGTGCGAGAAACATCACGTAGGACATAAAAGACGATGAAGAACAGTAGTGGAAGAAGATCAAGGAAAAAGAGGAGGAGAAAACGAGAAGATGCTCAAAGTGGTACCGTTTAGCTTAGCTTTGTAACCTATGTTTTCTGACAAAACAAGTGTTCTGAGCTGAAGTTGATGGTGTCAGTGTAGTAAATTCGTACTAACATTTTTTTCTGTCCCTTCAGTTACATTATCACACGAAGCCCCTTTTGTGAATCTAAGAAGGTGGCTTAAAAAGAAAGGCTTCGGTTCTCGGTCCTTAATACCAGCCAGCTTCTCAGGTAGCAGAACAGCTAAGCTTCCTAAGCAGAGTTTGTGTGTTGACTGTAGTGATGGTAATGTGGTGGTTTGTTTTCTGTCTAGATACTGGAAGAGGACTAATGGCTACAAAGTCTATTCAGGTGATATCTCTGCCAAAATGAATGTACAGTCTTTTTTTCACACATGCAAATCTATAATAGAGCTCTTAATGCTTTGTTTTTGTTATGTCCCTCTGTATAGGCCAATGATATGCTGATTTCCTTACCTGAGAGGTGCTTGATGACTACAGGCACAGTTCTGAAGAGTTACATGGGAGAGTATATAAAGAGGTGATGATATCTACGCCTTGCTCCACAGTCACATTCGCACTGTTTGAACATTAATCTGAGACTATGATAATGATTCATAAGGGGCAGTTTTTCCCTTTGCTGAGTGAAACCCTTTCGCAATAATTAAAAAAAAAAGATTAAACCTGAAGTCAAAAGAAAGTTGACATCTTTAGTTGATATTCCTGGTCACATTATGCGCTAGTCATCATATAATATATTATTTAAAACCAGGTTTTCAGCCAATAGTTCTGGTGGCTAACTGCCCTGCACTCTTAGTGTTTTCTCTGCTCCCAACACACCTGATGCAACTAATCAGTTCATTATTGAGTTAAGGTGGGTGTGTTAAAGTAGGAAAAGCTGTAAAATATGCAGGGCAGTGGCCCTCCAGGACCAGGGTTGAGAAACACAGATTTAAAAGACAGAACGCTTGTTTTCTAATACATTTCCATTTAAGCATAATTATTTTTGCCCTGATCTTTTGATTTCTGGCTATGCCACCATGTGCCGGGGTGGAGAAATCTACAGTATCACATTTCTTGTCACCCTTTAATAACCTTGACCTATAATTGAGCAAAAATGCTCTGCTAACTCAGAGACCCTCTTTGATACTGTGTTTCACTTGGAAATACCCCACGCTATGAAGGAAAATGCACTATGATTTGTGATTCATGTTGTCTTCAACTTAATCAGTATTCTATCAGATGATTCAATTAAATTTGACAGTATATGGATGTATAGATTTATTTTTTTTTACTCATTCATATTGATCTATTACACTTATGTGTTATTTTAGGAGTATTTTTGACCCCTGTAGTTTCAAGGTGCAAAAATTTTGAGTATTGGGACATTTTTGCTTTTTGTCTTTGTGGTTATTCTGCTGATTATTTACAGTTGCTGAGAAAAAAGTCAGCAAATGTAAGTATAAAAGTGAAAAGTAACTTAATAAACTAACACAGTTCCTCTGCCTTTTTCTGTACAGGTGGCAGCCCCCTGTATCTCCTCTCGTGGCCCTCTGTTCGTTCCTTATTGCTGAGAGACACTTTGGAGATGCAACAGAATGGAGTCCTTACATTAAAGTCCTTCCAAAGTCTTACACATGCCCAGTGTACTTCTCAGATGATATTATGGAACTCTTGCCTTATGGTCTTCGAAAAAAGGCAGTGGATCAAAGAGAACAGTTTCAGGAGCTGTATTCTTCTTCACAGCCATTCTTCTTGTCCCTTCAGCCTCTTTTCACCCAGCCCGTGGAGGACCTGTTTACTCAAGATGCATTTCGGTGGGCGTGGTGCAGTGTAAATACACGTACTGTGTATATGGAGCATGCCCAGAGTGACTTTCTCTCAAGGGAGAAAGATGTCTTTGCACTGGTGCCGTATCTGGACTTACTGAATCACTGTCCAAAAGTTCAGGTAAGGGGCTTGTTTGTGTCACTTGAGGAGAAGCTCTTACCTGTTCACTCTGGTACCACAGAGTTTTCCTGCATCAAAATACTAAACAGTGCTAAACAAACTAAACAGTGCCTTTTAGTGCATTGATCTAATGTGCTAACTACAAGTTAGTGTGCAAGCCATGATACAATATAATACAGTATGTTGCACTGTTACACCCCAAAGTTGTCCAAGTGTTAACGTCGTATTTACGTAAATTCATAAATCAGTGGTATTGACCATATTGGTGCACGTTGTAGGTCTACAGTTTCTAACTGTAGCCCATCTGCTGCTGCACAATTTGTCACTCACCCTCTACTTCAGGGGTGTCCAGTATTACCTGCAAAGGGCTGGTGTATTGGAATTTTTCATCCCAATATAGCAGGAGCTCACTTGATCAGCTGCCCAAAGACTGAGACTGATTGATTTAATGAGCTGAATCAGGTGTGCCCCTGCTTTGTTGGAATGAAAACCTGCAGCCACACTGGCCCTTTGTATGTAAGATTACACATCTCAGGTCTACATCATTCATCAGTGGTAAACGTCCACTGGACTACTGCTGACTAATTATTATGTGGCTGATGAACCATTTTCAGATGAAGTGCTAGAGGATGACTAACTCATGTACTCAGGAAAAGATCAGCTATCATCTAACTGTAAAGTGGCCAGTAAGTGTTTAAAAATGTTTAAAAACTACAGCAACGCTGTCTTACTTTATACATTTGTACCAGCAACACTAAGATGCCACTTCTAGTCACTGACACAGCTGTGCTGACAAATGAGTAGACAATGTGTATATATAGATATACTTGACTGGACTTAGACAGATGAACAAGTAAGAAGTAATAGCAAATTAACCAGCTGCAGTGATACTAGATAGGGAGCAGAAACGGGTAATAACAATAGATGTGGCAATCCCAAGTGATGGCAACATCAGAAGGAAGGATTACAAAAAAGCTGGAGAATTACCAGGAATACAAAGGAACCAGATAGTGTGTGGAAGTTTAAAACTAAGGTAGTCTTATAGGTCACAGTAGCACTTAAACTAGCTGTAACAGCTTAGATGGAACATCCTAGGAAAATTCCAGAAATTCTAGGAACAGTAAAAATACTGTACTGCACCTTCAAACTCTCAGGCCTCTGCTAAGAGGCATCGAGTCTGATTTTTTTTTCTTTTTTCCTTCCTAAAAGGTTGAAGCAGGGTTCAATAAGCTGACTCGTTGCTATGAGATCAGAAGTATCCAAGGCTGTAGAAAATTCCAGCAAGCTTTCATTTGCTACGGTCCCCATGACAACCAACGACTCCTTTTGGAATATGGTTTTGTTGCCCCTGGCAACCAACACAGTGTGGTCTACGTTGATCTAGGTGAGGCTACCATATAAATGATATCTATGGGCTGCTATATCTATGGACATGAAACAGAGATGAAAGAATATATTGATTGGTCAGCAGTGTCTGAGATGTTTCTTTCATCCTTGGTTGTTCTCCTTAGGTATTCTGAAGGTGTGTCTGAATGAAGGAGACAAACAACTTCGACAGAAGCTCCTGTTCCTGAAGGACAATGACTTTTTAAAGTTGGTTCATTAGACAGCTCAGTTATTTTATAGGTAGTTAAATCTCCCAATAGCAGCACAGCTAATAGTCAGTGCAAGTTGTAGAGTTTAAAGCTGATGTTAATCAATGGGTGGGGAGGTCTGCTCTACATTTAATGACCTAAGCTGGCTGCTTTCTCTCTCTTATAGAAACCTCACATTTGGAATAGATGGGCCATCCTGGAGGCTGATGAGCGTGCTGAAATTACTCTCACTGAAGCCAGAACAGTAGTAAGATGCATTAACATGGTCCTCTCACATCATACTGGTTGTCCCAGTCTGTGCCACCATACAATACCTACTGAAAGTATCCATTTCTTATCATTGGTGAAAAAACTGAATCAAGCCTTACTCATAAATGCACCAGCATGTTACATAAAACACAGTTAATGCTCTCTGCAGCGCCAGCTGGAAGAGTGTCCTCTTGGGGGCAGCAGTGAGCCAGGATACAGAGGAGTGGTGCATTCACAAGGCCCAAATGCTGTGCCAGCATCTCAGTGATGACAATATCAATGCACTGGAAAGGGTGAGCCTACTCTTTCACTGATTCTTAAAGAAACAGTTTGACTAAAAATGCTAACAGGGCTAACAAAATCACTTTAAATCAAAGTTTTATTAAACCAAACTAGTTGGTGATGACTTTTGTTTATAATTAGCACTACTATGGGAACTATTCATGTAATAGTGTTTTATAAATCTATAGAGCTGTAGTGTTATGTACAGCCATTTTGTAGTATTGTTTGAATTCTCAACAACAATTTTGGTTGTTCTCTAATCAGTAAAACAATGTAGTGAAATAGTAAATGAGTTAAAGGGGAATTTCAATGATTTTTCAAAATTTCTGCCTAAGTCAGTGGTTGAGATGTAAACAAAGTCATTCAGTGTGGTTTGATGTCAAATGGTTAATTGTAGAAAACCTTATTTTCTTTAGAGTGGTGCTGATAGGAACTGGGGGTCACAATGTGTACAACACAAATATAGCCATTTTACTGACTGTCCAAAACAACCAGTCTTTGGAGTTTTTATATGTAATGTTGATAAAGATGAAGTCTGAAAAAATAAGTTTTCTTTAGGGACAATTTTGATTTACAAAACCCTGCATGCACTTCTCTGACGTGTGTGTGTGAATCATTATCACATAGAACCTTTGCGTCAAACAATTGGTGTTGCCTTTCCAATAATTTCAGAGGAGACTGTGTGTATATATACTGTATATATGTATTGTGTGTGTATATATATATTGCACCCCCAAGTTGTCCAAGTATTAATGGAATATTTAAGGAAAGTCATGAACCAGTGGGATAGACCATGTGCATGTCATTCATTTTCATGCGACAGCTTTCTGTGAGATGTTTGTAGAGGCATTAAACTCTTCAGACATCTGGTTCCTATCACCAACATTGTAAATATTTCCGACTCTGAAAGTTTTCTCGAATTTGGAATTCCCCTTTAATGAGTGAACCGCTCTGAAAACCGTGCACAAGGCAGTCGCCGGTAGTGGATCCATGGTTTCAGTACAAGAACCTAGGATTTGTAGTTCTGCCACTACGTTTCTTGTTTATTTTCTAGTTAGTTCAGCTCAGAGACGGTGCAGACCAGGCCCGACTGGAACAGCTTGGTGTGGTTGAAGGCCTGAGACGAGAGGAGCGAGCGATTCTAGAACGCTCCAAAGAAGTTCTCCAAAGCCTTTTGCCACAATCATTGCCACGGCAACAGGACGGCATTCGGAACACAGAACGCTAAAGGAGCCAAAGGATATTGTCACTATTCATTTTCCTGCCAAGACATGGAGGATTTGGCCAAATCTGTGCAAAGGGGACTTGGATATTTTTTGGGCTGCACAATAGGCCTGTACCCAGTTACCAAGTGTCAGAGCCCAAGCTAGCAAGGCTGTGTCTAAAATAGGCAAAGTGCTCTGCTGGATTTACAACCTTCACTGCATGAATGGCAAACAACAGACTTCAGTGCTGTGCAGCAGCAAGCCAGTTTGGAGACTTCTTTAGTGGGCGGGGGGACAGAATAGAAAGTAAAAATAGAAAAGAAAGACAAGAAAGGCCTTAAAGTAGTGCTTCTCTTTGTGTAAGTGGCAGCTCTTCACCATAGGACATGTAAGTGCTAGCTCTATCTAGGTATTCAGTCTGATGGAGTACAGGCTAATGCTCTATGGAAGCTGTAAAGAGCTGTTGGAGATAACTGCAATATTTGTAGAGAAAGGATTTTTCTGGGTCTCTGTGGGCATGAAAATGTGGCCTGATCATCCTGATCTGAGACCAGCTTTGCCGTTTAGAACAAGTTTGGGAAAGGAAAAAGCATATCAGTACACAGGTAGCTTTCACCCAGCCTTCTGTAACATGGAACCCAAGAGTGAATGAAATACATTGCAAGGCAAACCAGAGGACAGAATGCCAAAATGATGGAAGTACAAACAGTGTTTTCAGTTTGTTAAAATGTTTAATCAGATCAGTCTTATCATTTTTATACAATTACAGTGTCACATCTCATTTTTAGTGGGGTTATAGAAATGTAACATTCCTTTTTTTGTAAAATTACATATAAATGTTAACTTAGACAATGTCTGATCTATACTGCAAACAAAGCTGAAAATCAGTGTTCAGTAGTAACCAATAAAAAAAAAATTAAATAATAAAAAGTATGCTTGGAATAAACAGAACGCTTCTGCAATCTATGAAAAATTAAAAAGGTGATAATTGACATACCTTACATAGTGCAACACATACATATGCACATTACTGGCTGCTGAACAAGTCAGCGTACTCTTATGCAGTTGTTACCAAAGTCACTTTCCTGTGAAATGATTCACTCCAGAATCCAGAATCTTCAACACTAAAGCTTCACCACTACCCGCTTTCGGAGTTGTCTTCGCTGCACCATCTCCATGGAAACAGTGGCTTCATACAAAGGCACAGGATTTTCTACAAGAGGCCTATCCAAGTCAGTCTTCATAGAATCTTCCACCCCTCTCTTGGGACGGTGTTTAAGCATTTGTTTTTGTTTCTCATCTTACCTGAAGGTCCCTGTTGCTAGCTTCTCCACCACGTCCTTCATTATATCTGGGAGAGAGAGAGCACTTAAGGCATATAACCCAGTTTAGCCAGGCTAACACATGTACAGTAGCACAGTAAAGAGGCCATTCAGGCAGCCTCAGGACTGAGGGAAAACCTCCTCAGGCCTCAACCACACTCAGTGACTGAATTCCAGCCATATGCATACTGTAGGGTCTATGGCCCATTACCAACACACTGACTGAATTTTTTTTTAATAATTTTTAAATAAAAGAAATTATCTTGGCTGGTTGGCAGGCTGCGGTACATACTTCTTTCTCTTCTGTGTAATCTGTACTTGGCACTGAATTGCAACAGCAACCTCTGGAGTCTAACATACAGTATGGAACACAATAGAAAGCAATCAGTACGAAAGATCAGGAAAGTTGTTTTAAAGTGTTATTTAAGCAATGTTGGCACTGACTACCCAGTGTTACTATAGATAAGGGGTGTCAAAAACCTTTCTGATAAATTCCACTCACCATCTGCTAATGATGAATTGAATCGTATGTTAAATGAGGTAAAATGCTAAAGTCTGCCGGGTAGTGGCCCAGCAGCTAAGCCATTCTTCCCACCAGGAGTTCGAGGCCAATACTATGATGGACTCCTATCCATGGGTGGCTGTTGCATCGTCAAGATTCAAACTTGGGCCCCAGTGATAGGATGCAAGCCTCTTAGCTACTTACAATGGGACCCCCATTGCTTTGAACATCTGACTGGCACAAATGGAGTAACAAGATTAAATGGCCAAACTGGTTTCAAAAGGATACGAAGATATCTGCCCTGTCTGGCCCTGGATGCTTCCCACACCTCCTCATTTAGAAAAGAGACAGAGGCTGCCTTCAGGAACAGACTGCGACTGTCTGGAGGATCAAGCTGAGGGCAAACAGCAATAAAAGGATTACTGAAAAATCATGGTCAACAAACTTTAACTTTGTTAAATTGCTTGTTTTATTTGGATTCCACTTAACTGCTAATGTCAGAGCAATTTGGATTTATTGACATCAATATAACCAGAGGTACGGCTGGTCACTCACTTGCAAGTTGTCTTCTGTGGTGACCCAGTGACCACCGACCCCAAGAAGACTGATGATATCGTGTTTGTGTGGGAGATGTTTCTTGACCTCTGGTTCCTCTTCATAGAGCTGCACTGGTTGGAGGAGAATTATGCAAGTTATTAACAGCAGACTCCAATAAAAGTAAATTACTTCAGTTATTTCAAAATAATGCATGCCACATGATTCATTCACTAATGCATTTTTAATATGCAAGCTGTATCACCATTGTAACGTAACTGCAATACTAGCATTTTGTGCATACTGTGCATTCCGTCCCAAGTAAGCCAAGTTCTTCGAGTCTTACCTCCTGTGTCAATGACTATGTCCACTCCAAGCCCTCCGGTCTCTTCCAGGCATGAGTCTACCAGGTCCACTTTTGAGTCCCAGACTCCAATCACCCTGGCTGAAAAAAAAAAAAACGCAACATGCCTGGCCTAAATCCAGCTAATACCCATGTACGTCACTGCAAATAATCATTATCATCATCTTAGCACTTAAAATCAGAGGCATTAAACGTCTCTTTCACACCTGCTAAGATTATTAGGCTTATGAAAATGTCAGACGCTTACACTATAAAACACTCACCTACAAGCGATTCCAGCACACCTTGTGCAAGTGCCAAGAATCAGAATGAAAAAGGAGGAACAGATGTACAGAAAAATATGAAGAGGAGAAGACACAGAGTGATGAAGTGTGAAAGAAAGAAGGAAGTCACAGGCAGTGCCAGTTACTGGAAGACTGGAGAATTATTTGTTCTGACAACACATTAATGCACGATCATATATACAAGAGTGCCATGAAGTTGACAGCATAATAAAACTAAATTGAAAGCTTCTGAGTTTGCTTTTTCTTTTCTTTTTTTTTTTTACAGTTAAGTAGTTGCAAGTTTTCTCTTTTATCTTACAACACTTTCCTACTCCACGAACATGTGAAATGGCAAACATTTAGGAACACTTACCCACACTTGGCCGAAGCTGTTCTAGAAACTTTTGGTCTTCAGGGGACACGGCAGTAGCCAGGACTTTCACCCCATGGTAGTGGGCTAGCTGGATGGCCAGCAGTCCAAATGGCTAAAAGCATAACACACAGAAAGAGATCCATGGGTAAGAAAATGTGCAAAGATACAGTACATTGAATATGTGTAGCTAAGATTCTCCCTTGGCTTAATTAGACACTTTATAGTGCATAAAGTGAACAAAAAGACAATGAAACTGTTAACTGCAGTTATTATGATGACAGTTTAACAGCTTTAACCATTTGACTAACACTGGCGCATCTGGGTTTATTAATATGCATTGACTCAGAAAAATAACAATAAATAAGTAAAATAATTTGATGTGCACACTTATTTACTGTAGTGACTCCTGTTTACAAAATAGTATTGAATTTACTAATGTGCTCTCCTCCTTTCTCCTTTAATTTGTTATATTTTAAATTATATTTTAAATTATCTTTGTATTTCATAATTTGAAAAGCACTTTGAATGACTACAGTGTATGTATGAAGGTTGTAACAGTGCTACATAAATAAACTTGCCTTGCCTTGTACATAACCAACTCGTTAGCTGCTTATATTGGAACGACCTGTGTGTGAGCTCACACTTCAACACATCTAATAGCTACTATGCAGTTTGTAATATCAGCCACAGTTGTAACAAACATAGGGGTGTTAACAGAGATACATACACTTGCCCCATCCAGCACGAGCAGCGTGTGTCCCACAGCCATCCGGGCCAGAGTGTGCAGAGCTGTGTAAGCCCTGAGAGCATCCTTAATCGCTCCAGCAGCTTCAAACCAGCTCACCTTCTCAGGCTTCTGAACTGTCAACACATACAGACATAAACACTTTGCAAAACACTGAGCACAAACATCCCAACAGTGTTGGGCACACATACCAAAGCATGCTGCAGTCAAAAACTTTGTATTCAAATTCTGTATTCACTGTAATATTCATTTTAAAATCATAAGTGACAGTAATTTGTGGAAATTACCTAAATTATATTCATCTATGAGGACAACATCACAGAGACCAGACATTTCAGCATCCAGGGGGAGAATTCCTGAAAATAAATGCAAAGAGAATTCACATCTCACGCTTTTTATCCTAGACAGGTCTCAGAAACTTTCCAATTATACAGTTCCTACCTACAACTTCATCATCGGGCTGGAAAAAGGTCACTTTGGGCCCAACTAAAAAGATGAATAGTTGAAAAGTTAAAGTTGTTATAACAAGAATAGAACACCAAAAGAAATGGACTTACATCATCTTACAATGTAGTAGTGAATAAGTGCCCCCCCAAAAAGCTGCATTCACACTATCACTACAAAACAGTTCCTGCACACATCTCAGATGTTCACTTTTAATTAAGCTGTTATTTGCTATCCTGTGCAGAGCAATGTGGCGAGCAGCGGCAAAAGCAAAAATGTATTAAACTTTGACACTTCACTGCATTTCCCTTCAAATGTACAACCAATGATAGGAGGCTATTGGCATTCTGTCGCTACAGAATATCAAAAAGTGTGTAATCTGTGTTTCAGCTTTTCTTTAGTCCTAAAATAATCAAATAATAAATAATAATAAAATGTGTGTTTGGGGTGTTCGTTTGAAGCACTCTGATTTGGTGGTTTGCTGCCTTGAGTGCTAGAGTAATCCAGTCTTACGACTGTACAGGGTGGCACACACTGTTCATTTGCCGCAACAGTGTAAACATGTTAAACAGTTACAGTAGGCCTGCATGCGATATATGAAATACTATATTGTGATTCTATTGCTAGATATTGCAACTGCCTAGTAGTATATTAAAAAATACTGACCTATGATGTAACATAGTTAATAACTGGCCTAATATTTAAAAATCCATAAATCAAGATTACTGTAAAATTATTGTAAATACTGATTTTTTGCTTTAAAACCAGAGTATACAGTAAAATACTTTGTATATCCAGAACAGTTTCCATTTGTACCAGAGGAAGCTACAAAGATTTAAGGCAAATGTTCCTGTTTCACGTCAAGTCTGAGTTTTACATACCAAAAGATTTAACACTAACAGAGCTACCACTCTTTCAGGAAATTATTATAAAAATTAGGACCTTTCCAGGTCAAATTCTAGGACAGTGTCCACATTTTACAAACATGACAGCTGTTTCCCACAAAAAGTCATCCTGAAATGATACACAGCTCCCAACATCCTTACAGAGTAACAAAGTGACACCTATTCACACAAACCTTTCTTCACCCAATTATTATCATAAGTTCTACTAATGTATTAGAAGTGATCGTTACACACTGTTAATGTAGCCTTGCTCTACTTTGGTGAACTAAAATAGTGTCCACGCATCTGTCCATCTGTCACTGTAGCGTTCCAAACTACAATAGGTATGAAAGAACACTCAGCTAAAACCTGGTAAAATATGCAAGAAAGAATATACTAAAATATGCAATATCAATATTTTTGACCCTGAGGAACATCTGTCAGTTTGTTCACAGCAAACAGGGACCTTGATTATAGTTTCTGGTCCTGGATTTTGTAATCACTGATAGGTATTTGAATTGTGGGTGCAAAATGATTGGCCACCTAGTGTCATACCTACCAGTGATTATAAAATCCAGAACCAGAAACTAGATTCAAGGTCTACATTTGAAGACCTCTGCAATAATAGGTTTATAAGCGTCTTTGCATTTGCAGCCTTATCTGATATCATCATTACAAAAGCCAATATCACGATAACCATTAACAAATGACACATCTAACAACACATTGGGCAGTCCTACGTTACAGTTACTAAAGACGAGAAGGTTATAAAATGCAACCTTGGAGTACAACTCCTGCGATCTCCCTTCCAACAGGGACGTGCTCTCTCTGCAGCTTCAAATCCTCACACAACTGCAAAGCAGACAGAGATTTGTTTGTGCTTGGCATCAACACTGAAATCTGGGGCAAAGATAGTCACGCCACAAGGTTGTCTGCACAGTGAACATACGGCTGAACTGGCTGAGCAAACGCTCACCTTTATGTCAACAGGACTCAACGCACAGCCCTTTACTTGAACTTTGACTTGATGCTTTCCAATAGTTGTAGGCACACTCTGTTCATAAAAACATGACAAAGTGGAGAATATTTCAATAGAAGATTTCAGCTAAATGAATAAAATTATTTTAATATGCACGTCCTGTAAAACATGTGCAAAAGTAATCATTAGGAAGCTGTTGAAAACAAATAAAGAAATTCTAAGTGTCTCCAGAATGATAGACAGAGCTGTAAATGAATCTAAAATGACTGAGAAAGCTGTATAACATCAAGAAAGAAGTCTGAATGACATAAACACTTGAATAACTTCTTCTTGTGACCCCAATACTTGAATATAGTAAACATCTAAACAAATATCTCTGTCTAGCTTATAATATTTCAATCTATACTCTGTAAGTTATTATTGTTTATAAAATAAATATTAATAGTTATTCCAAGCTTTTAGATTGTACTGAATGAAAGACTGTCCAAGCTACAACAATGTCTATTAACTCACCGACTCCTGTATAATAAACTTCACCTCCCCAGTTTCACTCAGCTTGCAATATAGTCCTTTCATGTTAGCTTTCCTGCAAAAGATTAACAAGGTACATGAGAAAAAAAATAATTCATAAAATAATCATGAATGGCATATGAACCTTATGCACATAAACCCAGTCGACCAACCCAAGTCATGAGCGCCCCACGGCCTGCACAGTCCAAAGTCTGCTGTAGGTGTTTGACTGTGTGCAGACCCTTTCCTCTGAGGAGACAAGGGGACTTAAACCATGCCAGTAAAAAGCCCCCCACAGCATAACAGGCTGAACACATCCTGCATTGTCGTTCTCGGTCACCTGATGAACTATGCACGTGCATCAGTCATTGAACGTGCACCTTCACACACAATATCCAACCCTGTTTACTGGTGTCTTTCTCCTAACCTAGGTCTAAAAAAAGTGTCATTTAGTCACTGTTCCTACTGAACCACATGCCAGATGAACAGTCTTGGTGACTTTGTGTAACGAACCTTTGTTACAAGTCACTCAGCTCTTTTCCTCTTGCCACCTTGATCCAAAATCGAGGCCAACTGGGCCTGCTCAGCAATGTCATAGAGCAGGGTACGAAGTTAACTGCTTAACTGTATACTCTTAAAAAGGACTCTTTGCTAAAGGCAATGGTTCCATTTAGGACCAAGAGTTCTATATAGAACCATTTCGTGCTTAAATAGTTCTTTGCATGGTGAAATGGTTCTTCAGATTGATAGGTAATAGGCTGTATATGGTTCTGTACAGAAGCTTTTTGAAAAATTATTTCATGTAACACTACAAAAGGGTTCTTCTGCTGTCTCAAGCTTGACACTGTGAAGAAGAAGCCTTCTTGGTGCTATATAGAACCATTTTTAAAAAAGGGTCTATATAGAATCATATACAACACATCCTTCATCTGAGGAACCATTTCACCATGCAAAGAACCATTTACATTTCTATGTAGAACCATTCACTTCACTAACCTAAATAACCCTTGAAGAAGTGTATCGAACAGCTGTCTGGAAGCATCTGCACTCGTGATGTTTCTCCACTCACTTATTCTGGTTTTCACTTTAATTTGTCACCCATCTGTAACGTTATATCACCCACACATCGTCTCCTATTAGACATGCTTATCTTTTCACTTAAGGCTTCTGATCCTGCTTTGCAGTTAATATCCACGCTTGTCACTGGTATCTTTCATGCATAGCGCCAAAATGGTTAGCTAGCGCGCTAACTGAGAGAGTGAGGGTTAAGCGAGAGAGTGGAATGAATGATAAGCGTTGTCGTCCGAAAGGCACGCAGTCAACAACTCAGTAAACACCACCTTCACGCCGTTCACTATAATATAATATATCAGTACCTTTATAGCCTCTTCCTCTTGGTGCCAGCTATCGCCGCTGCTGCCTGACCAAAACAATGACGTCGTCGTCTACGTCTCGCGTTAACACCGAACTTCTCGCGTTACTTCGGGATCCCACCGTTGCGTAGCAAAGGCAGTCCGAGGGAGAGAGCGGGGAGTAGAAAAATAAAAAAAAGACAGATTTCATCCATTTCAAAAGGACTCCCGCTTTCCATTCTCTCTCCTTTCTAGTTAATTCCTACGAAAAAGTAGCCCAAATATGGATAACGAACGATGAGGTAAGAGAAATGTGCGCCCTGTATTGTTTTTTCTCTCTCTCTCTCAAGCTTGTCCTCTTTGACAAGCGCCTGCCTGCACCGTCGTCGTTGTGGTGGGGAGAAAATGTGCAGCTAACCGCGGCTAGCTGAGCCTAGCTACGAGCTCCCACAGCTCCTCATTCATTAGCACACCCCGTACACAGAGGCTGAGATAAAACAGCTGCAAACCGAGGCGCACATGTGCCTGTTTGCCTCACTGAAACGCTCCTCTGAGTTACATAATGATAAAACGGCGTAATATTCATGTTGACGCTGACGGTTAAATCCTTTCATGAGTAAGCCGTGTTAGCTTAGTCTGAGTAGCTTAGTTACAAGCCTGCTAACGGTGGCTAGGCGTGTTTGTTATGCAGACGTGCTTAAATTTATTTTTTTTACTGTTTCTGATGGTAAATGTCGCTATGTGAATCTGTGAAATGTGTTTGTGCTGGTTTGGATATGGTAGGGAGGCTTACAGGAGCTATCAGCTGTAGCAGGCTAGGTTAAGCTAGCTCCGGTGTTATTCGTCCGTGATGCGGCAGCAGCTACCGACGTTAACGTTAGCCAAGCGTTTTATGAAGCGCATTATGCTTCCACTAATGTTAACCACTGTCGAGTCACAGCTGCTTCATACGTCTAGCTGTCAAGACTCGGTATAGGGTCCTGCTGCCCTGGAGTAAAGTGTGAGCCAGACGATGTTATCCGCTGCTGACAATACGAGTTAAGGCATGCGGCTGAGTGGCATAGAGATAAACCCCCCTGCAGCCCGGCCCCTATCGCCCTGTGCGGAATGAAACTTTGAAATACTTTTGTTTTGTGCATTCCGATAAGCTTGTTTTTTCCTCTTTCACTTCCTGTGAAGTGCTTGTAAAGCTACGAGTCATCCTGACCCGTATGAAGGTTGGGACTGTGGCAGATTATTGGTCAACACCACTTGGATATGCTGTATGTCCAAAAGTGCTCAGACGCTCTTTGAATTTGTGTTCAGTTGTTTGCACACAGCTTTCATAATCATTGGCAAGAATGGGACCCTCTGGAGCAGCCACACATGAACCTCAGGTCACTGTGGCCAGTGCCAGTTGTCGGCCAGGGGGGTGTAAAGCCCGCAGCACTGGGCTGTGGAGCAGTGGGACTGTGTTCTCTGGAGTGGTGAGGTACCATCTGAATATCGTTGGGGTGAGTTGGAGTGACGTTTATGACCCAGATTTAATCATCCATCATTAGTACCTGACCTTACTAATGCTCTTGTGGCTGAAAGTAATCAAATCCTCACAGCAATGTTTTAACATCTAGTGTAAAAGCCTTCCCAGAGGAGCAGAAGCTGTTACTTCAGCAAAGGGGAGACAAACTCCCTTTAATACCCTTGATTTCAGAAGAAATGTTGGATGAGCAAACTTTGGGACATATACTGTATGTACACTGGGTCACTGCCACAATCCCAGGAATGCGTGCAGTTTTTTGGAAGTTGTTCTGGTGCTGTTTAATTGGATTATAACTGCTGTGAGACAGTTTGAAGCCCCTCTCTGTGGGCTTGGAGTCCAGGGAAGAGCTACTTGGCCATGGAGGAATCTGTCGAGGATTATCACTGAATGACACAAGAAAAGCATACTGTCCTCCTCCCCTCTCTCTCTGTCTCTCTCTCTCTGTCTCTCTCTCTCTCTCTCTCTTCCCCTCTTTCACAGCCACTTTTAGTTTTTCTTCTCTCTTTTTCTGTGTTTTTCCCTGCTCCCCTCTCTCTTTCTCATCTTTCTGTTTTTGTCTGTTTCTCTTGTCTTTTGGTCTTTATGGTTTTCTCTCTCTTTCTAGTTTTCCGTTTGCTTCTCTCTCTGCCCTGTCTTTCTCTGCCTCTGTAAATCTGTAGGCCCTCACTCACTGTCTTCTCTCTCTTCCCTCTTTCTCCCACTGTCTTTCTCCACTCTAACTGTTTCACTCTCTCGCTCCTCTGTCATTCTCTCTCTCTCTCTCTCTCTCTCTCTCTCTCTCTCTCTCTCATTCTCATTTTTGTTCCCATCCCCCGGCCCATCTCAGGTATTATTCAGTAGAGATTTAGTCTGGAGGAATAGATAAAGCAGCCCTGTCTCAGTGGGATGGATGATAGGCTGTGTGTGTGTGTGTGTGTGTTTTTCTGAGTCTGGGCCTTTGTCCACCTCTGCTGTCTGCACTGTCCGTCCTGTATTGCTCTGGTTGAACCTCGTCCTCCCTCTGAGGTCTTTGGCTTTGCGACAGTCTTAGTGGTGCTGATTGTTTCAGTAGAATGAAAGAAAGACAGTGGGGTTTAAGCTGCTCCAAAGACAAATATATATATCTGGCGTGTAGGGGTGTAACGATTCACAGAATTCATAATTTGATTCAGAATGATACAATGATGTTTCAGGTAATTTTCTTGATACAGCAAAAATAAGTTGGGACGGAAATGTGAATGTAATCAGTTTTTTAGAGTATTCAACGTTTGTACATTCTTCTGCCTCTAGTGCCTTGATCTAACATGCTAGCCACAAGCTAATACGTTAGCCGTGAGCTAATGCACTAACCATATTACAGTGATACAGCACAGTACAAATGCGACATGCCCGTACTCCCCTGTCATGGTTGAATGGGCTCATTTGCGTTAGGACATGAGACTTGTGTTCCTTTTTCATCTGTCCAGCACATGAGGATAGACTGACAGCGTGAAACGAGTTGTCATGTCATGGCTCTTTCGCTTGTGTGCAGCGCTCTTGTAGAAACAGACTTGATATGGGGCGTCTAGGAGGAACGGACATATCTTTTTTGTGTTCTGTGATACGGAGGGTGTTTTTGTAGAGCTGAGTAGGGGTGTAACAGTACCTTTATTTTCAAGTTTGATCATTTTTTGATTTTGAGGTTCGATTTGATTATATGTTAATGTCTCAATTCTACAGAGTTTGATTTATAGACTACACAAATTGGTTTGGCTCAGATAAATTATGAAATACATCTTTTTCAGTGACACTCGTGCCAGGCCTCTAACAAAATAAACCCCAAAAATTCCCCTGTTTTATCCTCTAAATTTCTAAGCGACTTCAGGAAAAAAAAAGGCCAATCATCTGCATAAGCTCCACCCCCTCCACCCCCTTGCATCCTCTGATAGGATGTCTAGTTGTCATTGATGAGATTTTTCATGAAAAGCTGCAAATGAGGAAATATCTGAAGAGGCTGAAGGGCATAGCAAGCAACACAGGTTTGAATTTCAGTGCACTGTATTGAAATCATTGTTGAAATGGTTGAACTTGTGCTGTTATGTTGATATATGGCCATATTTTATTTGTAGTGGTACTTGTGGTTTTCAACAATATATATATTTTTAAGTAGATGCTTAATTGAATAAACAATGTATTTAAAATAATTTATGTCAGATTAATAGGATAATATTTTTGCACAGAGTAGCAGTGCTCAGGAAGCATGAGTTCATTTGCTTTATTGATGGTAACTTAAATATCAGGCTGTGTTTATGGAAAATGTTGTGATCTTACATTTTATCAGTACCATCTAGCTAAATGTTTATGTATGACTTTCTTTTTGTAACATCCTCAGTTGTTAGAGCGCTTCCAAATTTTTCTAAAATTTCAGTTTATCCATGTCTGTATCTGCTTATTTAAAATTTAGTACGTGTGTCAAATTCTAAAATGAAGCAGCCTTGCTGTAAAAATAAACCTTATCTCTTCGATGCAGTTTGATGAGTCTAGTCTGGATAGTTTCGGTGCACAGCCCCCACACGCTTACACATTTTCCAGTTTGTCTGCGGTGTGTTTTAAAATCCTCAGCCCGTGTGTTGAGTATATACAGTTTATAGATGTCTAGCTGCTTGTATACAGAGGTGACCATAACCTTGTTGTAACATTGTGCACAGGCAGATTCAGTCCCTCCTAAGGAAACTGTCACATTAGATCTAGTTAATGTTTTTTATCTCTGCAGTCTCTGTTACAGTAGGCTCAGCTATTATACTTACATAAGCAATTTAAGCCTTTAAAGGGCCTATATCATAATTTTTTCCTGTATTTTATCCCCCCAAGGTCCTCCTATGACATTTATCTGGGTTTATATAAGTCATAATTTGTTTTTACAAGATCGTTTTCCAATTTCTCTTTATTCTTTAGAATTCAACAGGCTTTCCTGTTACTGTGTTTTTAAGACTGATGTAGATAAGCTCTGTTCAGATAGGCTGCCCTATATTGTACCTCATTCAAAAAGCAGTCTGGGTTTTTCAGTGTGTTATGTGCTGTTTTTTGTGACATCGCAAAAGCAGCGGATTCAAAACGAGATTTTTTTTTTTTTACAGCTTAGTTTCCATATATAGACTGTTTGAGCTGGGGAGTAAATAGTATGTTTTGAAATGTTAGCAGTGTTTACACACTCCATCAGACTCTTTTATTTTGAAGTAAAATTAGATCAGGTTTCTTTTTTTGTGATTATTGGCCCTTTAATGAAAATGTGTGAAACTAGTCTCTGATCAGAGTAGGTATAAGAGCTGAGCGTTTACTTTCTTCACTTTTGCCTGTAGTGCACCATGCTAACAGTAGCTCAAAAAAGTCTCCCCTAAATGCAGAATGTGGAATTAATTGTAAATCTGGGCTCAGCTTCTTATCTGATATTAGTCACTGAGAGGAGTTGGCTGTGAACACAAGGCAGAGTTGCTGCCCTGCATTCCTGCTTTAGAATGGTTATGCTTTTTAGCTTTTGAAAGCTTGTAACTGATTTGTGATGGTGGCAGTGATTGGCCGTGTACAGTCAGCCTCATGCTTTTTTGTTTTGGCATGCATGTCTTTTTGTTATGATGTGGGAGATTTAAGTTTGGCAAAGTCAGCTGAGGCCCTGAACATCTGTCAAATTGGCTTCTCCATGCTCCAGCCTCGAATATCCTCTTACGTAGCAACTGTTGCTAGGTTAGACAAGTTGTACAGCACGTGGGCAAAAATCCCATTCAGCCTTTGAGAAATTGTCAGTCTTGTTTAGATTTCTCAATGTAA